AGGAATGCCTCCCCACAAAGCAGTGCTAGCCAAACCCTGACGTTTATGATTCAAAAGGATTTGTTTCAGGTATGCATAAGTCTCAGAAATTCAAGTAGATTAAATCCCATTAAAATATTTTCTAAACTTAAAATACAATTAAAGAAAGTTTACCATCATTTTTGTAACAGAAATATTTCTTTTACTTTATTTTAATCATAAGGACCCTTACATTAAATTAAAGAAAAACTACATAAATTCTTTTTCGGTTTATCAATTTAAATGGTCTCTTCTGAACCGTTATTTCATCCAGAAAGAGTTCTAGAGACAACCTGAAATTATTTCTGGCACGGAAATAGGAAATTTCAGATGCTTTTCCAAGCTTATGCTTGCGTTGGAATTGTAAAAATTTAAGAATTTAATTGGATTCAAGTATTGAGAAGAGTTTTTAGCATGATAGCTCAACACTTAAAAGTTCTTGAAAGAGAAAATGGTAGCTATCATATGTGGGTCTCCTTGAAGCTGGCCACTGGTTTCACCAGGATGAAAAGTTTAGGGCCACCTCCACAGAACATTACCACACTATTTGAATCAAACTTGAGAAATGCTTTTTAAAAATTATTTTATCAATCATTAAGTTCTTTACATAAAAAAGAAAAAAGTCTCTAATAAAATCTACGGAATAAGGCTACCATTGGTATATTTTGGACACTGATAACAAAATACCGACTTCTGAGATTTTTCACAGGACTTCAAAGCTACTACTTAAACTCATGTTTAAGTTTAAAGTTGACAGGTACAAGATACAAGATACGTACATGAAAAGATAAGTAGTGTATAAACCATATAAACCACTAAAGATAGATATAAAAGGGTCACCTGTGTAACAGAAATGGTTAATTACATCAAATATATATATAGAAGAAAATGTACAGCTAGGAACATATTTCTTAAGAATTTTACATCAGATTAATAATGCATCATTAATATAACTTTATTAGGGAGTTTTCTTGTATTTGCAATTATACTAAAATAATATCTAAGCACATTTTGAATTCTGCAAATTGTTGTAGTTCATCCAGATCCTCGTTCTTGTTATTTGAATACAAAGTCAGAATATGTGCCCTGTGTGGTGTTTTCACCAAAGTTTGGCCCAGAATCACATAAGGCTTGCTAAGCCTGAAAACTTCATCTGCCCTTATAAGGAAATCAGTGATGGAGAAAAGCAAATGAAGTAACCCCGGTATATTACTCATAATGAACCCAGTAAAATGGGACAAGAACGCTCCATCAGACAGAGTAACCAAATTCATGATCATTCTACTGAAGTGCCATTACTATTAAAAGAAAAAAAAAAAAACAAAACCAAAAAACCCCATAAAAATTCCAAATCAAAAGATATTACAATAACATGAAATGTCCAGCTATACCTTTAAATTTTTGCATATGTGAATTTGTAGCCTACATTTAGATAAAAATTGTAAAATATTTTCAATTACTCAAGCATTATTTAGGAATAGAAAATGAAGATTGTTCAAATAATTCGTATTTTAAATATCTGTACATCCCTATGAACAATGGTTTGCAAACATCAAAATCCTCTCAGTGGGAGAAAAGTCCATTGATCATAAGAAACTTTTTGATAAATTTAGTAGGATAAATAGAAAATATTTGATACTCCAGATTGCCTCATTGTTTGGGAATTGTATTATTGGGAACAGTAGAAATACAAGTAGGAATGTTTGGATTTGAAACAGTGAGGGTTTTCTTCCTTGATGCTTGAACAAAAGGCAATAAAGATTTATGATGTGTTAATTGGCGAACTAGAAAGAAAAACATTTTTAAGATTAGTATACTCAAACTATTTCTAATGCAAGATGTAACGAAGCTGACAAAAATTTTGGATGAGTCAACTCCTTTGCTAATTGTCCAAATTGAAACTTAAATTATCATAGTCTATAAAGAAAGACTTCTATTGTACCTGACAATTTATTCTCTCTTAGAAGCCATGTCTGTCAATTCTGTATATCAAGATACCTCAGAGCAAAAAAGCCCCACAACTCTCACCTCATGAAGCAGTATGTATTCATCCAATATTCAAGAATGACATACTTACACAATCGATTTTTCCAGTCTGCTCCCCTGTGATCCAACTATTTCTCCCAGTGTACAAAACATTTGTCCCAAAAAGTCCTGAAAAGCAGTAACATAAAAACTCAGAATTCATATTTCACATTGAAACAAATTTGGTTTCCCATTTATCTGGGCTGTTCACTATTGTAGAACACGTTCTGCTGAACATCGCATCTTAATAATAATTATGCAATAATGAATCATAAACCAGACTCACTAGTACATATTTTACATAACACTGAGTTACATTTACAGGAGTAATTCTAATGCACTCCACTTACTGTTTTTATATTGCCTTTTTCATCAACGACAATGAAACTGAGATGGAAAAAATTTAAAAGCATTAGAAACATGACTGTCTCTTTACCTTCTTTAACTGGATCATTTTAATAAATTTCTCCTTTATGAAGAGATTCTACACTGATTCTATGAATTTCTTGGAAGTTAATGATGTTGGCAGAAATTCAAGCCTGTGCAGGATCTGTATGAGCATCCTGGATTGACAATTATACACAAGCATTGCTTTAATGACAGACTTTATTTTCATGTTTTATAAATTAACTGTATCACTAAAAATCAGCTAATTTTCGTATTATATCTCCCTGTAACATAAGTAGTATAACAATACGAATGGATTTTCAAACTGTTGTATCTATATTGAAAAAAATTTTTGCTGTTTAAGGAGTCCAACTCCTTATCTTGCAAGTGAAAAGAGTGTGCTAGCTCTGTTCTTCCCAGCATCATTGGCAGCAGAGGTAACAGCAGCTTGTGAGATTTGTTCACAAACAGTAATGAGAATCGAGACATTATAATTCCTATACAGCAAACCATAACTTTATGATACTGTGTATAGTAGCGAATATCTGTACAAGTAGTTCTGACTCTACTCTCAGCCCAGGCCACTCATTCCAATCTCTGAGCTGTGTTAGTTATAGGTCCATATAGCAAATTGGATCTGAGAACTAATCCCACTGAAGAGGAAAATAACCCTGCAAAAACCAAATTTTTGAACTATGTCCTTTAACTGATCTGACACCGCGACACTGTTTCCATAAAGATTAAGTCTTTTAAAATGACTAAAATTTATCTGAGAATACTCAGCTCCTCATTCATTTTTAAAAACATCAGGTATGACATATTCTAAAATAACACCATTTTCTACACTGAAACCATGTATTCCACAACTATCATCTTTTTTTTTTTTTTGGTGGAGTTTCCATGATTAATTCCTATTAGTTCCACAGTCTGTTATTAATGACTATTGTTCGTTACTCTGTTGGTTTTTTCTTAAATCAGGAAGTTACCACGAACGTAAAAGTCTAATTTCAGGTAGCCAGTTTTATAAACATTATTACAGACAGCTACAATGGCAGCACTGTCTAGTCTGGTTACTTCATACCTCCATTATAAAACTTGCTTCATTTGCTTCTCATTTTGCCAAAACGGAGTCACTGAAATTGAAATTCTTCAGGTTTTTTCATCCCCCAAACTGTTCAACTATTAAATGACACTGCCCAGTATTCCCAAAGGAATGGATCAACAGCTATTTTTAGGAACAGGGAAGATCATCTTCCACACGAGATGACTACAACACACGAGCAGTCTAGCTACTGGCAGCAAATGCTACTGGCAGCAAATACTACTGGCCTGACATTTTTCAGAAACACCAAGTTCCCAGTGCATGGATACGAGCAAAGCTCTGCTCACTTCCTACCTACTCACTGCCCAAATTCTTAAGAGCTACGGGAAAAAGACGCAGGAAGCTGGCAACAAAAGGTACAATCCAGACCAACCTTGAGCACTTGGGAAATGATGGAAATCAATTGCTGTGGTTAAGAAACACATTTCTAGCTACCATCTTTCACAGAGTTCTCAGAGCCGTCTTCTTCTTCATGTGCATAATATTATATGGCATAGTTTGGATGTCTTCAGCACAGATACCAAGTCTACACCAACTTGTACAGATTTCCTCTTAAAGACAATGGAGGGAAATAGATATTTCTGATATTAATGTTAATGTCTAAAGAATAAAATTTCCCTCCACAATTGAAGATTCACGGAAATTGGCACTGTTTACAAAACAGGACCTAATGTACAGGCTAAGCATACTCAGACACTGATTAGAATGTAACAGGCACATATGTAATTCAAGATCTGCTTGAATAGTCTTCAGAAGAACATTCGTTTGTTTTCTCATTGTTTTGTCCTTTTTGTTCCATGGGCTCAGCAAGATACTCAAACCTTCAATTCCTGTTCCAGTAATCAAACAATGAAATCTAGGCTATATATTTGCATGTATCTTTGTTTGCACTTCCATAGTGACTAACTTATCTTGTGTCTTACCTTTCTTCTTAAAGATTAATTATGAGGTTTTTGTACAAAGAAGGATGTTTCGGGGAAAAAAGAAAAGAATTCAGATAAACTAGTTACTACAGAAGCACAAACACGCTGGGGCAGAAGCCCAGGATGAGGCTTTATCCTTGTTGAAGACAGTATAGGGAAGACTTCTATTTTCTGCATCCTCCTAGCTAGCATTGCAGTTATTCAGACCACCTTTCCATGATCACAGAGATTTGCCAGGGGCTTTAAATCTTTACAGGGAGGATCTAACTGGAGATCAATGGCTAAAAGTCTTATCTTTTCACTATGAAGCACACACAGACAACATTCCTTCCATTATTCTCTTTTCGTTTGCTCCAGATTCTTAAAGGTTCTCTCACCAAAGCTCTCCCGTATTTATTTTAAAAAATTCACTCAGAAGTCTCTGAATTCTACTTTCGCATCTCTAAATTTTAAAGTTACTGTTTAATCCCTTCCACTTTAAGACAACACAAGCATAAAAGGTTTCTACTAATATAGTAGTAGAAACATGTTTACAATTTTCAGGACCCAGGGAAGTATCAACAAAATGCAGCATATCACATATCTGAAAAGGTATACACATGTGCTTAAATATGCCCTTTACAGGAGGAATGTCCCATTAAAATTATACTCACAAGTATTATATACTTTATTAACCACACCACAATCACTCTATTTGTCTCTATGCATCTGGTATTACTTACAGTCAAAAGAAAATAAACATACTTAGGAAAGCGTAAACATTTCAGCACAAGAAAGTATAATAGTGAGGAAAAACTTACATGTTTTGATAGGTTAGGACTCTTTGAGTCAACATCGTAGCTTTAAAAAAAAAAAAAAAAAAAAAAGGAAAGTTATATCAGAGTTGCCAGATGACAGACCTGAGGACAATGTGAAGAAACAAAAATCAAACAATTCTTTCACCTATTTCAACATGTGAAATTTACACAAAGAGATATGTGAATTCAAGTCTCACCAGTAAGGAAGGCAAATTGAGTCATCACAGATTATAGGATTATGGTTCACTAGTTATTTGAAATGAAAATGTTTTCAACAAAGTACAGGCTAGTAAGAGAAATTATTCTGATATTTATTATTCTAATATTCCTGTTTGAACAATAAAAGCTGTCAAAAACCAGAACAAAAATTAAAAATTAATCTCAGAAAACAAACTAACTTGTGAATTATTTTCTTAGGCAATTTTTCAGTCATTTGACTAATTAAATAGAAATAACTGACAATAAACTAAATTGCTTTTAGCAAGAGTTTGACTTGTTCTTTTCAGCTTATCATAATCTTGTTCTTCCTCCAGCTAGAAAATGTCATTGTTTCCCTTCCACTACCAAGTCAGATTTCAAAAAAATTACTCTTTGAATTCAAGATAGATTAAAAAAAAATTAATATAAGAAATTCTTGGGGGATTACTAATCTCTATACGTTCATAGTCTTCCAACTTTATCAGATAATCCACAGTAATATTTTTATCAAATCCTACATTCAGATTCAATACCAGTAACTAAATTGAAAAAGTATCCTCTATGTCCATCTCAGACTCCCCTGCATGTTTCCATTCCCACCGCATGGTATGCTATCCTGTTGGTTGTGCTGCCACACACAGCAGGTTGTGCTGTTGGGATCATATCACAAGTCAGGAGGACGGGAATACCATAATGTAGCTGGATGTGGTGCAGCACAGTCAAAGTTTTAGAAACATGTTTGTGAACAAAGGAATGACTATAAAAATCACTAACATGAGTTTAAAAAGAAAAAAAAAGCATACTGTCTGGTAAAATTGAACAGAAAAACACAACTGGTAATTTGACCTAAGGGCTAGCTACACAACTAAACCAAAGAACTACTTCACTGGCAAAATCAGTAACAAATCTTAAAGTGTGAACAGAATGGGGCCTGAGACATTGGTGGCTGTGCAGTTTAGGAGGCGGCTCATGCTCATTTATCAGAACACCAAAAATCAGATATAGTCGCCGCTTTCTTTTTGTTGCAAAAAATATTAATCATATGAGGAGTTTCCTTCTTTGAAAAATAACACTTTGGCCAACAGTAGTACACAATTTTGCTCAGGAATTTAAAAAAGGAAGCTTTCTAAAGATGCTTCTTTCCTGATCTAAATCAGAGTTTTAATCCATGAACAGCTATATGAGATTCACATTTTTAACTCTGAGTTCTACAATATTTCATTTCTCATCTATCATTGTTATAGGGCTCTAAATTAAATTCACAGACTATGGCTATATGGTCACTTGCAGGCAAACATTAAAAACAGTTATTCAGTTTTCAGTTCAGAATAGACTTGTATCCCGGTAATCCAGAACAGCAGCAGAAAGCAGTCAGGTATTTCTGATAAGTACACAGTATGTTTGATATTTACAGCTTTTCATAAATAAACAAACAGGAGTCCATTTCTCTGAGTACATGAAGAATCATGTATTTTCCCTTCCAGGTCCAAGGCCTGATAGCACTTACCCAGAAGTTCTTTACCGACTTTCCTTTCTTTGCCTAGACTGAGCCTAGCTTTCTCTTTCTTGGTTCATTTCTTTTGCTCTTCTCTTCTATTGCACTGCCTCCTCCCCATAACATACATGCACCCTACAAGGAGCAAGAGGCAACCTACACAGTCCCAACTGTGTCTTTATTTCAGAAATGCTTTACCTACACTTGGAGGAGAACCATTTATTTCATGGAGTGACTAGCTCTTACTTAAAGTTACTTTAAATAGCAGGCAACAGTTGTGCTCAGCAGATTTAATGACATTAAACCCAACTTCTAAAATAAAAAATGAAGTCTGCTCCAGGCTTCCATGGTGAAGATGAAGGAATTTGACCTAGCCATCTAGAAGCACCCTGTAATCTATCTTGGCATTGAGTATTTCCTTTCACTTCTTGAAATAGTTGAAGTCTAGATGGAAACAGCTAGCTGCTACCTGTGTACTGAACACAATGGAACTTTTTTCCTCACTCATCCCTCCAACACTTCTTGTTAACTTAGGAAGCATTCTGACATGCTATAAAAAGACATTTACAGCTAAAGAAAAATTAGACGTGGGGTTTTTTTGTTTCCATGATATAGGGAACGCTACCATTCAAGAGCATTTCAGTACACCCTGCTGGCAACTTAAAACAAAATCAGCAAAATTACATGTAACTTTATTAAGGTTGCTTACATACATACTTTTTATTCCACTGCTACGGGAAAAATCATCACTAATGTGATCACTGCCCTATTTATTTTATGCCCTGCTTAACGTATAGATTGATTTGCATTCCAGAAATTGGGGTGGGACAGGGGTACGGGGAGGCAAAAAAAAAAAAAAAAAAATCAAGAGACTGTCAGAGTTGCTTCAAAGCAACTACTTGGATAAGTAAATGGCACATTGAGACTAAAGCCTAGAAGATTTAAAAATAGCTTTACCATAAACTTGCTAGGAGATTTTAGGCAAATTATGAAGTCTTTCTTCATCTGTTTTGCTGTCTACAAGACAGATATGCAATAAATGCAGTTTCTATATAAAGGCAAACTTGCAACTTAACTTTAAATTGGGAAGCAATAATACTACAACTTACCACTACTATAATCAACACCTGAGTAGGATTTGTCACAATTCCATAAAGCGTATCAGGAGACCTCAATCTTTAGTATTAGAAAGTATAGGAAGGCAGACTACACTGTATCTTTCTTGATATATTTATTCGGTAAAACAGATGATTCTTCTAAATCTTTCTCAAGAACAAATAAACTAAAAGAAATACACATGAAGGCAGAAATCTTAGCAACACAAAATAAGAATTGACAAAATTCAAGCTGAAGTACATCTTGCAAAGGAAAAGGGTTCTTGAACTAAAAAGGACATGTAAAGAAAAATTGTGGCCACTATGCATACTGTTCTGCAAAACTGAGTGAATGGCTTTTCCTTAATTATCTATGAGGGTTATTCAAGTGTTCTCTCATAGGGCAAGGTTAGGAAGAATTCCTAATAAAAAAGAGGATGAGAATTAAAAAAACAAGACAAGCTTGGTTATCATAAAGACTGAAATAATAATAATGGGGTGAAATGGAACAGGTGACATGCAAGGTAACCTGGTGACTGGACTCTCAATTCTATTTTCCAAAGAATAAAGTGAAAATCAAACCAATTCCACCAGTGGAATGAAATGAGTACATCTGGAATAATGTCAAAAGCCATCTACTTCTAGAACAACTTCTTTAATTTTAAAATCTTAAAATTTAGTATACTTAGATGCTTATTGGCATTTATTTTAGTAAAGAAAATTTTGGTTCTGTACTACTTGCACAAGATTTTATTTCTGGACAGCATGTCCATACCTGTTTTATTGGCTATGCTGCAAGAATATTTTAACATTTCGACATCTTTAGCTTTCTAACTATTTTCTAAAAGAAATGATTGTGAGTATGATTGTATTTTGACTAGTTAGCACCTGCCAAGTTCTTAGAACTCTGTCATTATTATGTTACACATTTATTTCTGAGGAAGCAATGCTAAATCAACCATATTTATTAATGTATTCCATGTCAATAGATACTACCTCTTTCCAAGTTAATATTATGCTGGACAAAACTTAATATGTTTACAGAGGCTGCAACAGTAGAGTCAAAGATTGTTAACTTACAAATCAAATCGCAGATTCTCTCTTTCTTCAAAGAAGTAGTCCATTATAAATTTTCTTACAAAATCTGGATTTAAAGTATTATCAATTACTTCTGTTCTTCCAAACTGTAAAAGAAAAGTATAAGTTTAAGCCACATGCTATAATGAAGTATAATTAAGTAGACTGCCAATACCAGCAATATGTGAGATATGAGAGAGCCTGTAAAAAATTCTCTTCAACAGATGCCATGAAAGAAAATGACTGTGTTCACATGAATAGACCAGTTATCTGTGGATGAAGATAGACTGGCAGAAGACCTCATATTTCAACATAAAGAGTGATGCACACCCTGTATTGTATGACCTAAACTTTATAAACATCCCAAAGCTGATCAGAATCCAGAAAAATTTGGGGAAGAAATTCAGCAACATAGAAATCCACTGTTTCCCCAAAAAAAGTGACAACAGCAAGCAAAACCCTTATTTCAGATAGCTTTAAATACTAGGGAACATAGTCCTTCCATTAGAATTGTATCATTTTTGCATTATCCAGCTCCTATTTCACCTCAGTTCAGCTCTCTCTTCATCTCTCCTCTCTCTGAGCTTTCTGCAAAATGCCTTTCCTTTCTTGGTGTTTACAGGAAGAGCCCCAGCTCTTGTCAAGCTGAAAATATTTAATTTAAAAAAAAAAACCAAAAACTTTTGATTGACTTCAGTTAATATACATCACAGATACAAATGACTGATCATAAAATATCAATGTGATAATTTTGTTCTTGTTTTAGCTGTTCTTTCAAGATATTCAGAAAACAAAAAAGAATGAGTTATTATTGAAATGAGCATTTAATTTTGTCCTACACATTGAACATATCAACACGTATTTGAATATAGCCTACTGAAAAGGTTTTTGACAGTTTGCTGAAAGATCATCATTAAGGAGTCCTCAAAACTGCAATTTGGGACTAGAGACTTTTGAATGACTCAAAGACTGCCAACCTCTTCATTGACATGACTTAACTAAATCAATAAACATGGATAAAGAAAGAATAAACCTTCTTGCAGCTGAAGGTTTTCGAGATGTATTTCCCATAAATGTTTTCGCATCATGGATGTGAATTTGACCACTATAACCCGCACAGAGCCCCTCAGCCTCCAACAGGAGCCTCCCTATCCCAGCCCCTGCATACTTAACATATATGTGGTATGAAAGGACAGAGCATACTCCATTCTCTCTTCCTCTCAAAACCAAGCAATTTCCTTTCATTGCTTGATTCTTATCAAAATAAAATGGTAAAGAACTCCAGCCACATTATTTGTGCGCTTTAAAGAAACTCCATTACTGTGAGCAACTCTTTTTTCTCCTTTGAATGACTATGCATGCATGCATTCAAACTGCAGGGGACTGATTCCAAGCACCATTCATTCACACAGGTCATCTGGAGAAGTGGGCCTGTATCTAAGAGGATGACTGCTTCTCAGAAAGCAACTACCCACCCAAAGGTCTCAGGTACAATAAAATGTTCAACACAAGTTAACACATCTTCAAGACACAGCTCTATAAAGTCTCAGGAACAATCCTCAGAAGTGACACAGTGCTGATTTGTGTCTTTACAGAGTGTGCTTGAATCCTGTTCAATACCTTCACTTTCGCTATGCTGTGAGATGTTCAATTGGGACAGTCTTATTCAGAGATCTCCATATTCCAGCACTTCCTATAAAAGACAGAGAAGCAAAACTATCTTCCTAATGAACAATACCATCTCCAAATAAAAAGGCAAAGAATATTTAACATATAGTGTCAATTAGCATACTCCTTTGCCAAGACTTTACATCATTTCTTAAAACCTAAGTGGAATGATTCCCTGGTCTCATTATTACCTTGATATCTCCTGCAAGAAGGCTTCTGAATATGTCCTAAGGCACAAATTGTTTAGAAAGCAAGTTTACTCATCAGCAATCACTGTATTTCTTCAACTCTCCTAAGCCAAAGCAATAGCTCTGAAGGGGGTAAGCATTATACAGGCGTGGGCAGGAGAAAGCTCCAGAAGCTCTCCAGAGTGATGAAGATACTGGATATTCAAAATAAAACCCCTGAGTCTCTTAAGACAGGACGAGCACAGGATGCACATGATCCTGGAAACAGATCAGAACACAAACAAATAGTTTGATCCTTACTGTTTGTTTTGGATGAAAAAAGTCAGTTTCTTGAGAAATGATTCAAGGTATTCTCTGAAACGTAAAAAACACTTTCTTGAACCAACACTGGTGTCTACTATGGCCAAGTATTAATCAATGAGAAAGAATAGCAGTGGTAGAAAGTTGGCATTCCTATGAGAATAAGTATGGCTGGAATACTTGCCAGGGCTAAAGGGTCTTTCTCTCCCCTCTGAACAGTAGCATTCAAATTTTATGTACATTCAAAGTCTCCAATCAGTTTCCAGGTCAAATAAATCTCAATGTTTATAAAAAAAAAATTGTCCCCTGTTAGCTGCATGCTTTATAACATGCAACAATATTGGAGCCAGGAAAAACTGAAAGTTGGAATGTCAGAAAAAATGAAATATGCAGCAATATCTAAGCATTTAGTACTGTTTGAAGGTATGCACTGAAAATGAGAAGCCACTCTCTGACACAAGCCAGTAAACAGCAGTTCATCAGACCAGGGATGAGAAATGAAAACAATGGGGTCATAAGAACCATCCATTTTGTAGTTCTGAACAGCAATAGACCTCATCTATGTATTTTTTTCCCCTCAAGTGTTCTATTTCTTCCATTTGCACTCTTACAGCAAACCGTCCAAATTTTCTCAAAGACTGGAATCAGCTGCATAAAGAGGAGATTTACCCTTAGTACTGAAATCTGATAAACACTGACCTACTCTAGAAGCAAAGGACTCTGGGCCTTCAAAAAGAAGATCCAAGGATGACTGCATTGTAACTGGCAAAGCTACCAAAGGCACAACAAGTAAGCAAAGAACACATATTAAGTTCTGGTAGTCTCCCATGCTATGAACAACAGAATCAGACACACATATACAAAGACATGCATAAAAATATCTCCCAGCCTGTGCAGATTCAAGTAGCAAATTGTCCTGGGAGACTCCTTAATCACCAGGCCGGAAAAGAAAGGTTATCAAAGTTCTTTAAATCCTCAGATTAGGACAAGCTTGAAGGAGAGTAAGAGGATCTTCAATCATATGGGACCTACACTTCTACATACACGGAAGACACAGGGAAACAAAGAACACAGGGAGCTGTAGCCTAAGAAAGTTTACTTTCTGCTGCAAAGTCATCATCTAAATCGAAAGGCACAAATCCAAAATAACTAAGTGAGCTCAGAGGATAACTTGTCAAGAGTCCATTTAGGGGCGCTAATACTTCTCTTGACAAACCTCTGGCTTGACACCTTCATAAACAGATCGTTTTCTGACAGTATGATCCTTTTTGAAATAGTAAAGGCAGCTTGCACAACAGGAGCATATATTTAACTTTGGAAAAGCCATTCAGAGGAGAAGAAAATTAATGGCTAAGGAAAACAGAAGATAATCATAGAATACTTGAGGTTGGAAGGGACCTCGGGAGATTGTCCAGTTACACCTTCCTGCTCAAAGCAGGATCAGCTAGAGTGGTTGTCCAGTCAGGTTTTGAGTATGTGCAAGGATAGAGACTCTGCAACCCCTCTGGGCAACCTGTTTCAGTATAAGATCACCTTCACAGGAAAAAGGTTTTTTTCTTATGTTTAAATAACATTTTCTGTATTTCAGTTCATACCCATTGACTCTTGTCCTTCCACTGGATACAGCTGAGAATAGTCCATCTCTGCCTTCTTTACTGCCTTATATCAGGTATTTATAAACATGGATAAAATGTAAGCCTTCTCTTCTCCAGGCTGAACAATCCCAGCTCCCTCAGCTTCTCCTCATATGAGAGATGCTCCAGTTCCTTTAACATCTTAGTGGCCCTTTGCCAGACCCACCCTAGTATGTCCGTATTTTTCTCATACAGGGGAGCTCAGCACTGGACACAGCACTCCAGACATGGTCTCACTGGTGCTGAGGGCAAGAATCACCCCCCTTGACCTGGTCAATGCTGTCCCTAATGCAGCATAGGATGTTGGGCTTGCACACTCAAAAAACCTCTCCATTTCACTCAGATGGAAGGTACTAAGGGACTGGGGGCGTGACAACTTCTACAAGTGCATGAAAAAGCAAAGCACATAGCTAGGTAAAGGAAAGCACAGTCTCCCTTTGTTCCTACATACCCTAAAATGATTGTGACTGGAGGGATACACAGACACTCACCTCAGACAAAAAACCCAGCTTATTTATACAGCCTTGTGGACTCTCTCACAAAGTTCAATAAAGACAAATTCGAAGTCCTGTACTGGTACTATCCCAGCTCCCTCAGCTTCTCCTCATATGAGAGATGCTCCAGTTCCTTTAACATCTTAGTGGCCCTTTGCCAGACCCACCCTAGTATGTCCGTATTTTTCTCATACAGGGGAGCTCAGCACTGGACACAGCACTCCAGACATGGTCTCACTGGTGCTGAGGGCAAGAATCACCCCCCTTGACCTGGTCAATGCTGTCCCTAATGCAGCATAGGATGTTGGGCTTGCACACTCAAAAAACCTCTCCATTTCACTCAGATGGAAGGTACTAAGGGACTGGGGGCGTGACAACTTCTACAAGTGCATGAAAAAGCAAAGCACATAGCTAGGTAAAGGAAAGCACAGTCTCCCTTTGTTCCTACATACCCTAAAATGATTGTGACTGGAGGGATACACAGACACTCACCTCAGACAAAAAACCCAGCTTATTTATACAGCCTTGTGGACTCTCTCACAAAGTTCAATAAAGACAAATTCGAAGTCCTGTACTGGTACTGAGTGGTGGGGTATAAGCTGTGCAGAAAAGGTCCTGGTGCAGCCATGAGGGTTTAACAACACATTGGGTTGTATTAGTGTCAGCACAGCCTGCAGATCAAAAGCAACAATTATTCCCCCTCTATTCAACACATGTGGCCCCACCTGGAAAACTGGGTACAGTTTGGGGCTCTAATACAACTGAATCTACAGACTGGAGGCAGTTCAGTTAAATGGACCCTGAAAAAAACAAACAAACAAAAAAACCCCCAGAACAAAAACCAAAAACAATCAGCAGGCTGGAGCACACAACCTGAGGAAAAGCTGATGGAGCTCAGTTTGCTCAGCTCGGAGAAAAGAAGGTTTAGGGAAGATCTATTTCCACTACCATCCTCTGCTACCTATACACCATTACAGAAGACAGAGCCAGACAGTTCACAGAGAGCACAGCAAAAGGACAAGACGCAATAGTCAAATGTTGCAATAAAGGAAATTATGAAGGGATATAGGGAAACACTCTTCCAGAATGGGTGATTAAGCACTGGAATGGGTCACCCAGAGAGTTGTGCAGTCTCTGCCATTAGAGAATTTCAAACCTTAGCTGGGAAAGGCCCTGAGCAACCCGGCCTAACTTCGAAGATGGCTTTGCATGGATCAGGAGGATGAACCAGACACAGCAGATGAGTAGGTGGCTGGATAACACAAAGTTTCCTTTCACCTAAATTATTCCATGATTATGTCATATTTCTTATCTCGGGTTTTTAAGTTTTATAATTCCATTAGAAATAGAACTATGTGTGAATTCTAAGGGCAAGTTACTTCAAAAGGAAAAAAAAAGAGTTATAAAATGGCAGCTAAATGTCAGTTTTAATTTTTTAAAACAGTAAAATATCATAAATTTTTAAGTACTTTTCATCCCTTCAAATCTGCCTTTTTTTCAGTAAACAATATTTCACTTTACACTATAACCATGTTATACTTCGGAAATCTTTCAGACTTGATTTAAAATGCATGACATAAGTGTATCAGTAAAGGAAGATAAATATGCAACATGCTTACAATTAAACCACACCGAGACCAGAGAAGGCCTAACAGAATGCCCGTTACACTGCTCATCAGTTACAGGGAAATTATTACAAAACTCAGGAGACTGAATTCAGTGGCACTGCTAACTTTTCTTTAAATTATTTTAAATTACCTTTTTTAAATTGAGGCTTCAGGTTTTTGGTCTGTTTACTTTTTTCCAAGGGCTACACAAATGATTCCTTCACATTAAATTAATATAACTAATTACTTAACTGACAAGTTACTATTAAAATTCATCTTATAGGTGACATTAAAACATTGGCCTCTAAAAATCACCAGGCTACATGTGCCAGCTAAACGAAGCATCATCTTTTAAAATCTGTTTTCCCAATTACCTATAGCCTTTTTTAAGCAGAACAGGTTATTTCTATAATTCAGTCACTTATGACTAATAGCTGCTAATTAATTAGTTCTCCACATGGCCTAATTTCCCCATTAATGGTTGTGTAAAGCTAAAATCTTAACATGGCCAACAAGCAAATCCTTTAGAAATGTCATTCAGGAGAGTAACAGACTCAATTTAACTATTTAAAGGAAAATAGATGTTCAACAAAGAAAATCAAGAAGAGAGTCCCTTTTCTGGATTTCCTGAGATGGAGAGTCTTTGTCACCTCATAATACAAGCTCTCCTGGTAGAAGGGGATTTTTAAAATTTATTTAGTCATTTGAATTTTTATAGCATCTCAACCTAGTGATCCAGCCTAAGGGGCTATGAGGTTAATGGAAAATCGTAATCTTCATTTTAACATCAGTTATAAAAGACTAGCAAGTTGGGTAAGTCCAGTATCAAAGATACAAACCAACTATTGTAACTATGAGGGTCTAACCCAACCCTCTGCTAACCACTTTCTATATGAATTCTCTGAATTAATTCTTGCTTCAACTTTATGGCCGTGAGTGAACTTGAGAATAATATCTAGTAAGCCCTCTTTTCTTGTTTTTTAAAATTTGCAGTGTTTTACCACAATTGCAATGAAGTTGTTCCGATAATTAATCACCCCCATTCTGAAAAATAAATTCTTGTTTCTTGTCTGATTTTTATTTCATCTCCTTTTCCATCTTTTGGATCTTTCTATACCTTTGTTACATAGAAATATTTTCCATTATGAAATTTATGTTCTTAGTGTTGATATTTATAGCTCATTTCAATTATCCTTAATTCACTCTTTCATTAGGAAAATAATTTGAGCTTAAGTTTTTCAGTGTAGCATATGTTTAATAATTCATTACTTTTATCTCTAGTCATTTGTCTTTTAAACATCTTTCTTGAAATGTGAACAGTCAGAACTTAGTATTCTGTTACAATTCTAGGAAACTAAAGAACTAAAAAATGGTTTAAACTATCACTAGGTTCTTGGCTCTGATGTAAATGGCTTTTGAAAATTCTTTAGGAAGCGCCAGGTAACACTCTCCATTGGAAGCTCACTGCACGAAATGGTATATGAACACACAACATCTTCTCAGAGTTTGTAATCTAACTTCACTACATGTGAACAGAACAAATAAGAAACTTAAATTGTGAAGAAAGAAATGCAGTACCAGTAACATGAGCCTGTTATAATAATGATTAATAGTTTCAAATAATCAGAATTACAGAGACTACAAGGAAACAAACAAAAAATTCACAACTGCCAACCCCACTCTAGAAAAAGCATAGTCATATGTTCTGCAATGTGTTTGTCCCAAAGGAAGAATAATGTCTTTAATATATAAACTCATACTAACTATCAGAAAAACCACAACATTCCTCTAACATATATGCAGGCACTCATACGAAATCTGTATACTGCATGTACACATGATGGTGATTTCTATGTAACCCTTTTTAACTGATGGTCATACAATCATAGGTATATAAAAACCAGAAAGGATTCCTCATTTTTCTGTGCTTTGGCTTTTTTCCCCACTCTTTCAAGCATGACTTCCTTGAAAAGATTATGTTCTTTTATTCCAACTGTCTTAATTCCCTTAAACAGTTGATTCTTTCGAGAAATCTGCCAGAGAAAGCTTTCCAGTGAACTGAATATCATGCAACAGCAAAATTTATTCTTTCTTCACAACTGTGACAGTATAGGCTTCTTCTATACTCTCCATCCTTTGCTTCCTTGTACTGAAACTTTTTCTACTAATCTGCTACAAACTACATTCCTATTTATACTATGTCCCTCTGCTAAAGAAGATACAAGCTATTGTTCCAAAGAAACTTCACCAGTACTCTAAAAAAACCAAAATGTAAATCCCAATAAATGTTGATTATAAAACGTCTAGCCTTTGTAATTTTCATTAAAACAGCCTTCAAAATCTACAAAGGAGACTCAAAAGCATGTCTTATTATGGTTCAAATGATAATCAAATTGGTAGATGCTGCAGTGAAAGGCTTAACTACTAGACACGAGTAAGTGTCCACTTTGAAAAAAATCAGTCAGATTATCATAGAATCATATAGGTTGGAAAAGACCTTTAAGATGATCAAGTCCAAACGTAAACCTAACATTGCCAAGTTCTCTACTAAACCATGTCCCTAAGCACCACGTCTACATGTCTTTTAAATACCTCCAGGAATGGTGACTCAACCACTTCCCTGGGCAGCCTGTTCCAATGCTTGACAACCCTTTCAGTGAAGAAATTTTTCCTGATGTCCAATCTAAACCTCCCTTGGCATAACTTGAGGAGATTTTCCTCTTGTCCTATTGCTAGTTACTTGGGAGAAGAGACCAACACCCACCTCACTACAGCCTCCTTTCAGGTAGTTGTAGAGACCGATAAGGTTTCCCCTCAGCCTCCTCTTCTCCAGACTAAACCACCCCAGTTCCCTCAGCTGCTCCTCAGAAGACTTGTTCTCCAGACCCTTCACCAGTTTTGCTGCT